TGTCGATGCGAGAGTCGAAATTTCAATTCCGCATTGATCCTGCAAATGTCGTCCGCCGACTCGTCGGCTTGCTTCGGAGAATTCACTAACGAATGGAGAATCTCGAGAGATGCGCAACAAGCTATTGTTTCATCTTGTTCACCTAACAAACGGCCATTGTTTAACTGATCGCCATATTCGCCACGGTGACATTTCCACGAGTTTACAAATAATTCGCTGTTTAACGCTGACGCGGCGCTATTAATGTCGGCCTCAAAGCAGATGCCAATTTCAGCCCGGCAGAAGAGATCTCTTTATTTCTTCCAGCTATCGTTTCAACATACCTGGAGGTATATACCGCCGTCCGCGTCCCGGCGTCCTCCGTCCTGGATCCTGACTACTTCGTGGTCTCTCAGGCACTCTACCGACTCCACTCACTAGCACTGACACTCGCGTAGACACGATTCGATCGCGGCCAAACGCGTGTTAATTAACGCGCGGTGCCGACGAGAGCCGGCGGAAATACTTTACTCGCGCGATGGGAATTGCTAACAACTCACCGACACAGAGATACGCCGCGTCGCGCGCGCGCGACACGCAATGACACGGACACGGACGACTGGTACACAATGAGCTCGGGCATCAAAACAATCGTCACCTTCAAAGTCGACCCCCCTCCGGTCGCCGAGCGTCGCCGAGCCCGCCAGTCAATGACGCGTACGTACACGGTGGCCGAGAAATCGCGGCCGTCGAGATACTCCGGCGGCAGAGATGATGATCAAAGAGTCGAGAAGCGATAGATCATCAGGAAGCGGCTTACGCACGCGCGACACGGAACCGGAAAGTGACGGACAAAGCGCTGTCATTACTTCACACCACGTTTGCACATCGATCCCCACTTTTCTGTAGCGTCCTTGAGCGCCTGGCCACGACGCGGTCGACGGTTGCCTCCAGGACGGATCTCACAGGACGCACGATGTAGCGGCAACGCGGCAACTCCTTCACTTCTGAATCTCTCTTGAATTGCGAAATTTTCTCAATTTCGAAATGTCTAACATCGATGTAAAGTGAAAGAAAGAATAGAAAAAGAAAAAGAAAATTTCGTCGTTTTATTCACCTACCTATCTCTCGGTTAGTCTTTATTAATCTTTATTAATTAATTAGCTTTTATTAATTTATTTAGTGTCCGCTTATTGCGGAATATTCCATCTGTAGGAAGTTGCGTAATTAATCTATTGCTGACTGAAATTAAGAATTAAAAGAAAGGAAAATTAATTAGAATCCACAAGTTTCTCTTTGTAAGTCTCAACACGAAGACTTGATGTTCGCTGTCGAGAGATGATTGAATACCGAATAGTGTTTAATAAAGTGCTCTAAGTCTTAACAAAGTGGCGGTAAACAGTCATTCGTAGTACATCGAAAGACAATAGTCTCTGTACAATACCTCGAGATTCTCCGTTGGTCCTCCGCGAGTTGGACGGACCTTGAGATATTAAAGTGGAACCGAAATTCCGATTTGGGTTCGTCAAGATCCAATCGTATCGCCATTGCGATACTATCGATACCGTTTGTCGCCGTCGTCGTCGTCGCCCGAGTATCGCGAGTGTGCTTAATCGCGCGAAATACAAGCTCGAATTAGCTTGGAATCAAGCGGCCATCAAGCCGAGAGAAGAGGTTCAGCTTTCTCTCACGGTCTGTCGGAGGGACGCAAAGCAGGAAGAAACGGAGAACGACCGCGCGACGCTCGTGACGAGAGAGCTCGAGTAACCCAGAGAACGAGAGAAAGGAAGATAAATAGACGGGAAGGAGGCCGCGAGTCGCGGTGAGGCCTGAAGAAGGAGCCGAGGAACGAACGGTCTCGCGAGGATTAGAGCGAATTCACCGCGGACAAAGATCGCGGACAATTCTCCCCGGCCCGTTCATCGCGTTACGGCCGTTTCGCGCGCGATTCACGGCAGAAACTCGCGCTGGAATTCTATCGTTGACGTCGCGATTCGACCCACGCGAAAGGAACTCGCTTTGTTCGACGGCGAAGAGAAAAGCGCGCTAACGAGCAAAACTTTGCGAGCAAAAAAAAAAAAGAGAGCGGCGATTATCCGAACTCCGTGACTCGGATACGCAGAGTACGTCGACCTCTTCCGCGCGCACCTGACGCGCAATCAATGGAACATATTTGGATCTCGCGCGGGCGCGTGTTAGCCCCCCTCTCACCCTCCCTGTGGAAGAAATTCCGATATTATAGGACGCATGAGGTTCCCTTCGCGTAAATTACAGATCGCGTAAAACGGGCCTCAGCGAGCCCCGGCGGCCTGGGAGGTTACCGGCCTCTCTTCTTCCATCGGAATCACCGGAACCCTCCCCCCTCCCCTCTCCCCACCTGAGTCAGCCGTTTTCTCGGGCCCTTTTCGCCCTGCCGTCCCTGTCTCGCGCTCCCGATACGACTCCTTTCTTCTCTCCTATCTTCTCGCCTGTCGAATAGCTCGGCGGCGGCGGCGGCGGCGGCGGCGGCGGCGGCGGCGGCGGCGGCGGCGGCGGCGGCGGCGGCGGTCCAGGCGGTGCCGGTAACGTGTCTTTTGTCCGCGAGACCGGTTCCTGCCGGTTCCTCGAACCATTTATTTCCCTCGCCCCGGCTATACGCGACTACACTCCTTCGCCTCCACCTCCCTCAGCCGTAACCCGCGCCCCTCCCATCCACTCGCCTCGCCGCGCTTCGCTCCTCTTTCCTTCCCACCCTCCTCTCGCTCCCAGCACCTCCTCTCGTCCATCTCGCCGTTTCTACCCTCGATCGTGTTACACCTTTTTCCGGACACGTATCGTACACGGCTCTCGCACTCGAAATAACGTCCCGGCTCCTGCCAGTCAGCCAGCCAGCCAGCCAGCCTGCCGGCTCCATGAATGGAACGCGGCCGACATCGCTCGGAGGCGCGCGCGCGCGCGCGCGCGCGAGAGAGAGAGAGAGAGAGAGAGAGATAGAGAGAGAGAGACGAGGTGTCACTGAGCCCGGCTCTCGTCTGACCTTCGCGCCCCGGTCGATTCGGCGCACCTATCGATGCCGACGAGGAGGTCGGTGAGGTCGACCACGACGACGACGACCCCGCTTGACCTCGCTTCATCGACCACGACGGAGACCTGGACGACACTGGGTCGACCGAGCTATGCGGTAGCTCGCGCGACTATCGAGCTCTTCCGCCTCGGCGTTTGCGCGCGCGACTGTGCCGAAGGAGAAGTTATAGTTATTGGCCCGATAACTCGCGGTTTATCGGCGCCGTCGTGCTTTGTACGTGCCGGCTGTGGGCAACTTTGGACGACGCCGCTAGCGCGCGCGCCAGCGACGAAATTAATGTCGTTCCAGAAGCGTACAATACCGACGCGTGCGCGCGACGGGAAGACGTGAGACCTGTCGCGAGATCCGCCGCGAGATATCGCGGAGATGAACGAGGTGGGAATTCGACGAACCCGGCGCACGGGGTCTCTGTCTGGGGGTTATCGCCGTCGATCGCGGCTCTTCAATGTTTCCGATTCAACGGCTGACGTGAAATCCCCAGCCGGGACGAAGCGAATAAATGAATGAAGCGAATAATCAATCCTATCGTTCGTCTCGCGCGCTGAATTCTGCTCTCGACGTTTCATTCGGAGTACACACAGCCAGATATCGCGCTTTCTTACATTGTTCTTCCGTCTCCGCGTCTCTGGAAAACAGCACGACGGGAAGCAGCTGAGGAAGCGCCACGGCTTCGCGCGTGAGACATCCAAAGTCCACGAATCGGGGTAAGGTAGACGTCTAGCCAGCGCTTACCTTGGCTGGATCGATACCGGTTTTCGCGCGATCCCGTGCCGCGAAGCCGTGATATTTACGGGCGCTCGCAACGCCCGACACGGCCGACACGACCCGCGATATCACGTGGCTTTTATCGCGCTTTTATTATGATACCCGAGACGTCCCGGGGATCGGGTTGTTAAATCGGAACCCTTTCGCCCGTCTTGTTGCGCGGGGGCGAGATTGGCGGGATCGATCGGCGAAACGATTTCCCTCCCTCTCTCCCTCTCCCTCCCTCTCTCTCTCTCTCTCTCTCTCTCTCTCTCTTTCTCGGGTGACGCGACATGAGCAAGAATGGCACCATTGGGTAACGACCGTATAGAGCTGGCTGTCGCAGCCGAGCGCCGGATAAGCTTTTATTATTCGATAACGATTAACGGCCAGTCAGCGATCGCGAGTGAAAAAGAAGAGAGAGAGAGAGAGAGAGAGAGAGAGAGAGAGAGAGAGAGAGAGAGAGAGAGAGAGAGAGCATTATCGCGCACGTACACGCACGACGACACGACCGCCGTTCAAGTTCGCCGCTCGATGAAGTCGGCGAAACTCTGTTACGGGCGCTCTGTTACTCTACGCGCGAGAGCTGCTCCGAAAGTTCGTCGCCTTCGGAACACGATTAAAACTGTATTCATCGACGCGCGAGTACCGCGCGCTACACTGCTGCTACTATTATCGCTGTTACCGCCGCCCCCGAAGCGAAATTACCGAGGCAGACATTCCGCGAACCTGCTAATGAATTTCGACCAGCCGAGCTTCTCCTGCTTCGCAGGGAGGGAGAAGCAGAGAAGGAGAAGGGGAAGGAGAGAGAGGGCGGGATGGAGGAAGAGAGACAGAGAGAGAGAGAGAGAGAGAGAGAGAGAGAGAGAGAGAGAAATTCGCTCCATTTATGCTCCTACTAAATCTCAATTTCAAATGGCACGCCACTCGCGATTATCGTCTTTAGTCGTTCCGCGGCGGCGAGGGGAGTCGCTCCCTCGCATTCGCAATTGACTGCCGTTCGCGAAGAACTCGAGGAAGAACGGCCAGGTGGGGAGGCAGAAACTTTTGGGAATCCAATTTCGGGATGTCTCGAGCGGTACGTTCGTTCGCTCGTTCGCGCTATTCAGGAATTCGCGAGAATTCACCGACACGCTTCTCCGTCGGCAACGTCATCGCGCGCGCGCATATCAAGGCCCCGGGGGAGGACTCGGCCACACTGAAAGTCACTCACCTTTCTCGAGCTGCTGCGCTATCGGGCTCTGCACCCTCGGAGTTGTCTGCAACTGCGTCGCGTTGCCCGGCCGTCTTCGTGGCCTCCTTCCGGGTCGGGGCTGCGCAACAAACGAGGTACATTGGTTATTTCCATGTAAGAAGTGCAACCGGCAGGAAGAGACCGCAAGCACGAGTGCTCCGGCTTCTGAGTGCGCGATCTCACGAGCGACGTGTCCGAGTTGAGAAGGAGACAGAGAGAGAGAGAGAGAGACAGAGAGAGAGAGAGAGAGAGAGGCTTGTTTGACGTCGCGACGACGCCGGTGGACACGCTCGTTCCAAGCGTGTCGAACGTGCGGCCTGAATAGAAGCCATTCGGCGCGTCTTTCCTCGGCTCTCGGCTCAAGCATGTCTATGACGTCACGCGCGAGTTTCGCCATTGCGAGATCGCGCGCAGTCAACCGCGACTTTATGGAGCCTGGATTGCTCCGGAGCGATAATAGACCCCCGGGCTCTATCTCGCTCTCGCATCGTCATCAGTCGTCGTCTACGTCGTCGTCGTCGTCGTCGTCGTCGCCGTCGTCGTCTTTCGCTACCGCCCGTCCTCTGGCTTGCACGTAGTACATATCCGCAGTCAGATAATCGCAACGTCAGTCTCGGCTCTTTGTTGCCGCTCGTAAAGCGAGCGAGCACGAGCGAGGAACAGCGCGCGCTAGGAACGACAGAACTGCGAGAGACGAGAGCCGCTGGTGAGAGAAGGCGGGCGGGCCCGTGTTACCGTCTTTGTTTAACTGCCGCATTTATTACGCGCGCGGTGATAGACGCGCGAGCGCGCGTTCTTCGAGATAAACGCGGCCGTTTCGCCCGCACGCGGCGTGTCCCCGAACGCGGCGACCTAAATTTCAACGACAGCTTGCGCGACGAATCTGCGGGACCGGGCTCGCTCCCCCCCGGGGAAATTCCCGGCGTCCGAGTTACGTAAAAACCGGAATTCCGCAAAGAGACGAGAGCCGGCCCGTCATCGAAACTCCGTCGAGCGCAGGAAAAAAAGAGACGGAAGAAGAGGGGGCGGGATAGACCGCGAGATACACGCGGCGCGATGTAATATCGCGACGGCGAGGGAAGCGCAACGGGAGGGAACAGAGGGAGGAGCGGAGGGGGGAGGGCAGGGGCCAGGCGGGAGCGGAATAGGTGCAGGCAAAATTACAAGAATCCAGAGTGCCGGGGATATTTCAGGCATCTCTTAATAAAATCCTAGACCGTCGCGGAGGAAAAAGGCGAGTTTAAGTCTTGAGAGCCTCGGCAAATTGCTGAGATTTTTTACACCTCGAGCTTCCGCTCCCGGAATATCACGAGCCGCATGGCGTGCAATTTTCCTTCGCATACCGACGACGCGTCGCGACGCTAGCGGCGGCGAGGCGTTTCGCGCGTCGTAGCGAGCACGTGCGCGACAAAGCGAGACGAGTCCCCCACGCGTAGGGACGCAACGATAAGTCGATAATATCGAAGTATCGATACATCGAGAGACAAATATCGAATATTTTTTTGTCTCCGATCGAAAATCGACGTATCGATGTGAATTTTATTGATTTTCGTATTTTTCAGTTACAGCTCTACTCTCGGGGGCAGCTATTACGGTTCTACCGACCGAGATGAAAATGACAAAAGTGAGTGAATTCACTAGAATATATATTAGAATATATATTAGTAATTGCTCGATGTCTAGTAAATTCGCTCACTTTTATCATTTCCATCTGAATCCGTTGAACCGTAATAGATCTCCCCCCTCCCTGCTCCATGTGTACGTGGTGATCTCCGGCAAATGACCGCGGTTCATTATATATTTTCTAATGAGAATACGACAATGAATTATATGAAGATCAAAATTTTTTAAAGATCTTTTCAAATTTTTCGTGCACACCGTCGATGCATATTTTTGTTTGTATAAATATCGATATTTTTCAAAATTATCCATATTATCGTTATCGATGGTTCTGAATGACGATAATACCGTTATCGATATTTCGATTGATGAGTCGTTGCATCCTACCCACGCGGCAGTCTGTCGCGCACTTTTTGGCAAACAAGAGCGTCGCCGCCGCCCGGCCGGCCGGCTAAATCGTCAAAGCCGCCGCGCGACCACGCGAGAACGCGGCTACGAGAATCTCTCCGGTTTACACACACGTCGGCGACGGAAAAATGCATCCGGCGTACCTCCCGCGACGCGTTCGCTCTCCCCCCCCCTCCGCCCCGCGTGTCTTCGACAGGCGGCGAGAGCCTGCGAGACGCGCCGCGCGTCCGGGCGGAAACACATCCACCCCACCCACTCATCCCCAGCCCGCTCTCTCTCCTACCACACGTGTGTGTTTTATTGCAAATTGAGGTTAAAGTCTCTGGCACGGAGCCAGGCATTTCACCTAGGTCGTCGCATTCCGGCGGATACACACGGACACGCGAGGAGCACTCGCTTGTGCGCGCGCGCGCGCGCGCCAGACCGGCCCGATCGGCCGCACACAAAGAGCCTGGGCGGCCGGGAGCTTTCTTATGCGCCCACGGGACGAGTCCTCTGAGGAGGAGGTCGCGCGCTGCGTTTCCCCTGCGTCATCCCCCGAGAATTTTAATCCGACGCTGGCGATCGCGCTGAACCTGGGCTGCGACCGTTGCGACGGGGACTCGTCAAAATTAGCGAGGGATCCTCGGGCGTCCTTCTGTGTGCGCTCGTCGCGCTGAGGAAGATCGTAAGATGGACGACGCTCGCCCATCCGAGGATTGTTTTCTCTCGTCAGCCATCACTCGCGCGTGACAATGCTCGCCTCCTCACAGCACGGCCACGTCGGAATCGGCGCGCGTGGATTTCACGTGATTGTACGCGTCTCGAATGTTTTTTGACCCTTCTCTCTCTCTCTCTCTCTCTCTGCGCGACTGTTTGCAATCGATCGTAACTCCACCCCCCCGGGGGATGGAAGCACTCTAACGACGTTGTCTCCGCGCTCGAATGATTTCGCGCGGCGCACGCGCGCGCCGACACTCTGTGTCTTCCGCCGGCCGTATTTCCGCTCGCGTGTCTCGCGTGGCACGCGAGGGAGAGGAGGTATGAATATAAAAAAGAAAGCGGCGGGGGGGGGGCGGGGTGAGTGGGGGAGGAGAAGGGAGAGAGGTGCGCGACGACGGCGCTGCGGCCGACTGACGGATGATTCCATAATGCCATTAACGTGCGTATCGTCGAGGTAATGGCATCTTCGCCGGCGGCGGATATAGGCGGACGCATTACGTGCGGACAGCATCTTTTTCCGGCATATGCTATTCTAATTAATGGTTACACGGAAAGCCGCGTGCATGCGTGCATGCGTGCGCGACACATGCGCGCGCGCGCGCGAAATGCGAGCAGTGGCGTCGTATTTATCACTCCCCGCTCCGGCTGCGATCATCGGCAATTTCAACAACGCTGGAACGTTGGGACGCTACGAGCGATCTCTCTCCGAAGGCAGCGCGAACGAGTCAGATCTGAGGAAAAAAAGAAAAATCGGCACGGGGAGAAGGTGCTGCATGCTGCGTCGCACGCGAGATTACTCTCCTTCTCGCCGGGACGGGAGCGAGCTTGTCTCTCGCTCGAGTCGCCGCCGAAGCCGAAGCGAGCGATTCTAAATTTGAGACTTGAAGCGAGCGCAGCTCGCGGCACGGAGCGCGGAGTAATTGAAATTTGCCGCCGCGGTAATGTATCATCAGTGTGTGCGTGTACACGCGCGACACGGCTGGGAGAAAAAGAGACGTTTTATCGAGTATAAAACGGGCGGGTTAATGCGACGACAAGAGAGAGACTCGACACTTGCGCGCCCGCCCGATAATTGGGACATTAGACGCTTCGGAAACGTCGTCGCCGGACGAAACGGAGCTGTGCGAGCGGGCTTCTAGATAACGAGGTCTCTCCTCTTAACCGTGTAACGAGTAATGCAAGATATCGCGGATAAAACCGGATTAGCCAGGCGCTCCTCGACGGCGATAACGAGTTTGTTCGGAGGCGAATTACGTTTCAGCTGCGAGGAAATTGCGCGAAAACGCGAGCGTGGCGCGGCCGGCGCGTGAATCACAGCGGGATGTAATAAGCGAGATCGTGCGCGATCGACAGGGTGCGAGCGCACCCTGCGCTAACGCGGCAATAAAGGGCGAACGCGCGTCGCCTACGCGGCGATTATCATTCTCGGGCCCGTCGGAGCGAGCCGCATCGACGGCTGCTTCAGACTCAAAGAGAGGAAAAAAAGAGGAGAGAGAGAGAGAGAGAGAGAGAGAGAAGGGGCAAAAAGCAAACACGCGATCAATCGTCGCTCGTTTCGTACGATCTCTACCGACCGCGCGCGGGCAGGAAGTAATTAACTCTCCCGTGCAATTTTCTTCGCGAGACGCAAGCTTTTTTACTTCGATCCGCGATTCATCTTCGGCTCGGTCGCCCGCATGCCGGATACACCTCCCCTCCACCCTCCACCAGCGGCGTGCATTATATTAATCCGCATCCTTCGTTGCTCTCATTTCCCGCCGCTGAAACGAGATGTACCGCGCGCTTCACGAACACCCGGCCGCGTCTCGTTGTCCTTTTACGGTCTCGTCCTCGTGTCGCGTCGTGACGGCAGGAAACGCGCGGCGCTACGCCAATGCGGGCGAGCGTACGCGCGCGATACGTGGTACACACGACGGGCGTAATCGTGTCTCGACTTACACGCGTGTGTAACGCATTACACGTATCGCGTTACACCCCTGACACACACACACACACGCGCGCGCGCGCTCGCGGCCGAATGTACTGGGCGTCGCGATAAAACCCAACCGACCAGAAAGACCAGCCGGCTCCGCTTGTTCGCCGATTTTTACCGCCTTGCCTCGGCACTATCGCGACCAACCGGTTCATGAATACCGGTCGTTCTTTTCTACCCGGCGACCGATCCACCCGTGCAGGTGACCCCTTTAAGTCTCGACACTGCCGACGTCGTTTGCCTCTCGTCCGTGGAAATCGCCGTGCACGGTATACTTTGCGGATTAAGCGCGACTTAATCGCCGTGCAACGGGAAGTACCTCTCCGGCGAAAGGAGCGCTTGAGAAACGGCGATAATCGACTCGTCCAAGCGGAGAT